TGGGTTTTCTCCAGGTCCTCCGGTTTCCTCCCACAGACCAAAAACATGCACGTTAGGCTGATTGGTAACTCTAAATTGTCCCTAAGTGAGTGAGAAAGTGAATGGTTGTTTGTCTTGTTTGTCTCTATGTGTCTCTGTGATGAACTTGCGACCTGTCCAGGGTGTACCCCGCCCCTCGCACAGTGATTGCTGGACATGGGCACCGGCGATCCCCGTGACCCAAAATGGAAGAAGCGGGTAAAAGATAATGGATGGATGGATATATATATATATATATATATATATATATATATATATATATATATATATATATATATATATAATCTTTAAATACTAGTATCTTTAAATACTAAAATAAACAACTACTTACTACTACTTGTACTACTATTCCTACTTTGCGTTGTTTTCACTTATCGCTTAATTTCACTTATCTTATTTCAGATATGAATTCCTCACGATAAACAAGGGACTGTACTGTGTCCCGAGGATGTGTTGGGCCCAGTGGCCACAGAACCCAAAGTCTTATAGTTCTTCAGTTTTGTCGCCATTCTTCAGCTTTGCTGAGTCAATCACACAACAATGTTGAATACTGGAGCATCCAATGCAAAGGCAGCGAGAATATCTTCATGAAAGGCAGTTTCCAGGCAGTACTGGCAGGAGCCCAATCTAATACGACCCTACACCATCGGCGCCATCTTGTCCCACTCCAACATTTGAATCAAGTTTGTTCAAAATGGTTGTCTCTTCACTGGAAACAGTTTGTTTAGAAATGAACACAACTTCCTGTTTACTTGCTGCAGCTGATTGATCTGAGCTGATGGTTTGGGAGATGATGTCTTGAAAGATTAGTCAAACAATAGTCAGCCAGCAGTCAGTAAGCGGTCAGCAAGTATTCAGGCAGCAGTCAGTAAGTATTCAGGCAGCAGGCAGGCAGCTCTCTGTTGTCAGAGGGAATTCTGTGCTACTTAAAACTTTGCATTTTATCTAATTATTTTTATTTATTTTCCTTGTTTGTGGTGGAGGACGGACCCAACCAAACAGAACCAGAACAAATGAACATCTAAATAAAAACCTTTTTGTTCTTTGTTCACATTTATTATAATCTGTCAATACAGCATGAGTTGGGGGACTGCTGGCAGGACTAAAGTAGCAAAAGACGAGCTAAAAGCTAACAGTAGCCAAAGAAGAGGCAGCAGCTAAAGTTAATGAACGTTCCTGAAGGATCTGAGGAGATCTGATCCTGGTTCTGTGGAGAAACAGAACCGAGTCAGAACCATCAATAAAAACAAGAACCTTCAACATCAGAGCAGCGCCAGCAGCCAATCAGAGTTGAGAATAGCTGGTCTCCATGGTAACGACGGATCGTTTGGAGGAGGAGCAGCGTTCGGTGTAAAACGGAACCAACCCGGAAAAGTTCGGTGAGTTTGGGGTGACACCGTGGGTTCTGGTTGTTTGTTTGTTTGTTTGTTTGTTTCTCTAAGCGTGCGGCCGCTGCTGCTTCCTGTTTCAGCCCGTTCCAGAGACCGCGGTAAAGTTAGATGTAATTCCGTCAGGCAGGGCGGGGAAACAGAACCGGGTCAGAACCTCTGGAACAGAACCGTGTTTATTGATTTAATGTTGTTTACAGTAAAACAAGGCTCGGTTCTGTCAGCAGCCTCTGGTTCTGACCCGGTCCGATGATCCAGTTCACCTGTGAGGAACAGCAGCCATGACGTATAAACAGGGACGGTTTTTGTTCCTGTATCATTTATATTCAGTTATTGGAAGCTTTAGATTATTAAGGGAAGAAAATTAAACTAAAACATGTAAATAGTTTAAAATTTCCCGTGACATAAAAAAAATTCTACAAGCAACATGTTTTTAGAAAACATTGTAATGTTTAAAACTCGATTTAACCCATTTTGTCTCAAAGCTGGTAACATAACAGGAAGTGACATCACAGGGGAACGTCTTGGTCTTTGGGCTGGTATAATTCAGTTTATGAATAAGAACTGTCTTAATTTATTTAGAAAAGTATGTGCTGTATCTCCGCTGATTTTCATGTTGCTTATTTTACACCACTCGTGTTTCTGTTCAAATCATTGACATATTTACGTCATGGTTCAAGTGATACGCAGCTTCACCACTGAGCGGCGCTGTTGCACCATGGAAATTATTCATTCTGTATCTTGCAGGGTTTCTCTCATTCAGTCCAGGCTGGGGGTCAGGTCGAATGTGTCACATATCATCTTAACCAGTGATTTATAATGGAAATACGAGTGGCATAAATTAGCTAGATGAAGATCGGTGGAGATGGAGCACGTAATTTTCTAAGTAAATTAAGACAGTTCTTGTTCATAAACTGAATTATACCAGTACATTTTCATATCCAACGGTGATCCTTGCGACCCAGAAGTATTCCTTTTAATGCATGCACAAATGAGCTGCACTATGGATCGGGTCGCAACAGATTGGGTAAGCACAAGAACATATGATCTCAACCATAGACATACATATTGTAGATGCCTCAGTGAGCACTGAGTCATATATCAATGTCGCTGCCATATTGGATGTGGCAAAAGTCAAGCGATAGGAGACGCCTCATTGATTCAGAGTGGCAGCATGGAAAAAGCTGTGCAAGACTTCTTTTCCAAGGAAAGGGTTTGTAAGCTCAATAATCCTGGTAGATAACAACAGAAAAGTTTAAATCATCTCATCTGGACCAGTTTCTTTAAATGAGAAATGAGGACTTTGTCAGTCTGCGACCTGCCACCCAGGGAGCCTTCATTGCTGTGTTTAAAGCCAACCTCTTGTTGGAATCTCAGAAGTAGGTTCTTAACACATGCAAGTAGAGCACACCTCAGTGAGGACTGAACTAGGTAAAAGGGCCTTCTACTCCGCTCCCGTTTCCTGGAATATCTTGCAAAAAGATCTGATGCTCTTGACCTTCACCTCTCTAAGTGGCTTTAAACATCTGTTAAGTTCATGGCAAAACCAATGCAGACATGTTCCTGTTCTTAGTATCTTACATTGCTTTATAATGTAGCTGCGTTTTGTTTTGTTTTGTTTTTTTTATATTATTTTCTTCCATTTATTTTTCAATTTTGTAATGTTTTTCTACTGTTGTCATCTGTGCTTGTTTAAAACGGGTCTGTCTTGTAAATGAGTCCTCGAGGCTCAATGAGACTGACCTGTATAAATAAAGGTTGAATGAACATAGACAACACACAAAACAAAGCACAAATAACTTTAACCATTAACCTTTAATTTAACCATTAAGCATCTTTTTACATTTTTCCAAACTGTTTAGTTTTTGAAATGTAATAAACTGTATTTCGCTCTCTAAACGCTCAGGGTAACGTGTATGAATAATTACATGTTCCCCGCTGACAACGTTAAACATTTCTTTCCTGATGGTTTTTCCCACGGCAGCAGCTGCAGGTAAGGGGCGTTTACCTTCGGGTCAAATTGAGGTCACCGATTGGTCAGTTGCTGACACGCCTACTGGATTGATTGACAAGTGACTGTTGAAGATCTGACTCTTGCAACAACAACAACAACAACAAAAAAAGAGAGCTGCAGCCGGCCCTGGGTGGTCCAGGAGCAGCGGTAGCAGTGTTCTGTGTTTATATGTTGTTAAAAGCTCTAAAATATAAAATAAAACTCAGGGAGCGCTGGCCCTGCAGCCCCGCATCAGCCCAGCCCACTGGGAAATCTCCAGACCCTCTCGATTACCCACACTGGGCCTGCGTCTCCTTAATAAAACACTTGTTTTGTTTGTTTGCTTGTTTGTTTGTTATCAGAAACGTCTGATGTAACGTGTAATTCAAGGTCAAAATCAATGTTTCTTTATTGTCATTCGCATCTCATGTGGTGCATGTGGTGGAACGAAATTGTGTACACCGGGTCCCAGTTACATCCAACAAAAGTATAAATTTTAAAGGAAAAACAGTAATAATATCCAAGATATGAACTAAGAAATACTCGTAACTTAGTAATACACTAAACACTTAATAGTGCAAAAGAATACGCCGAACAACAGCAGCACGAACATGAGGCTGTGTGAGCAGATGAGTACGAATGAACACAGAATCATGGAATAAATCGGCAGCATGAAATAAATCAGCAGCATGGATAGTCAGCAGCACATATCAGCAATCAAGTGACATTACAGTGATTTTATTTTCACAGGAGTAATCCTGGTTAGAGATTCATGAGTCTAACAGCTTCAGGGTAGAAGCTGTTCCTCAGTCTAGTGATTCTGCACTTAATGTGAGGAAGTAGAGTCTCTGATGAGCTATCTTGATCAGACTGGTAGTGTTGTTGCTCCAGCTGAGGTTGTCATTCAGGTGCACACCCAAGTATTTGTAGCTTGGGGGGGGGTGGGGGTGGGCAGTGTTTGTTTCGTCTGAAGCCCACGACCATCTCCTTCATCTTCTTCACATTGATGTGAAGGCTGTTCATCCTGCACCAGCTCTCCAGGTGTTCCACCTCCTTCCTGTAGCTGGACTCATTGTTTGTGATGCATCCCACCACCACTGTATCATCTGCAAACTTTACAATTCATGTACAATTACTGTAGTTAATGAATTTTCTCACCATTTAAAATCCAAAAGAACAAGTTGGTACTTGTGTTTCAAAAGTACTGTAACTTTCTTTTAAAGCATCAAAGTTCATGCTCAATCATCCAGGTACAAAATACAATGATGGTCAGTCAGGTCATCTGGACAGTTTCTTTTTTGTGTAAAGACGTTTCGCCCTCTATCCAGAGGGCTTCATCAGTCACCAGCAAACTGGTTGGTCCACTAAAGGATTGCACTGCTTAGTGGGGAAAACAGTTTACTTGGGACTCCTCAGACTGATGAAGTCCTCTGGATGTGTGTGCTTACTGTGTTTGTAGTTAACGTTGTTCATATCTTAGATCTCATTACTGTTTTACTTTTACACACATTTTAATACTTTTGTTGGATGTAACTGGGACCCTGTGTACACAATTTCTTTCCACCTCATGAGGTGGAATGACAAATAAAAAACCTTGAATCTTTGAATCCTTGAATGAACTTTGATGCTTTAAAAGAAAGTTACAGCACTTTTGAAACACAAGTGCCAACTTGTTCTTTTGGATTTTAAATGGTGAGAACATTCATGATTTATTACCATGCAGAAATATACAGAGAAAACTTAAGATACATGGTGCTGCTTTGACAAATACTCTGGAAATATATCTAAAATATTATAACGGTGTTCAGACCAAGCTCATTAACCCGGTAATTTGTTGACGGTCCCTAAAAGAACCACGCTACTCTGAGGGACAGACTGAACAGCTGAACAACATCAGACTGACTGCATGGGCTCCAACAAGGAAGCCTCCGCTGAATCCACGGAGCATGAACGTGAAATATCCAACGTAAAATAAATGTTACCACTGCAGCACACACTGGATATACTTATATTTAAGGCTGATTTCAAAACAAAACTCCATGAACCTCAAATACGTTTGTTCCATTGTTGCTGTTTGTGAGAACAAAAAAAGGTTAAATCATGTCATCTGGACCAGTTTCTTTGAAGGAGGAACGTTTGTTGTATGTGAGGTAACATTACACACAGTACAGTATTGCAAGGGAACGCAAAAACATTTGCGTGGGAACGCAAAAGTAAAAGAAAAATCCCCCATGTCCCCTCCCGGGCTCAGTACAACTTTACACTTAGTGTGAGAAATGAAATAATTAATATCAGTTATAAAAATAATTAATGTCAGTTATTAATGCTGCTATGAATTAATGCAGCTGTGATCACTTAATAATCAGTTCCAGTTATCCATCCATTATCTTTTACCCGCTTCTTCCATTTTGGGTCATGGGGGTCGCCGGTGCCCATGTCCAGCAATCACTGTGCGAGAGGCGGGGTACACCCTGGACAGGTCTCCAGTCCATCACAGGGACACATAGAGACAAACGAGACAAACAAACATTCACTCTCTCACTCATACCCCGGGACAATTTAGAGTTAACAATCAGTCTAACATGCATGTTTTTGGTCTGTGGGAGGAAACTGGAGTACCCAGAGAAAACTCACGCATGCACGGAGAGAACATGCAAACTCCACCCAGAAAGACTCCTGGACCGGGATTTGAACCAGGTACCTGCTCGCTGAGAGGCAGCAGCTCTACCAGTTGTGCCACCGTGCTGCGTTTTAACAAAGTTATTTATTTTAATTATGTGAGAAATTAAAATGTTAATAATGTACCTAAGTAAATAAAAACTGCTGTAGATTTGACCAAAGATGGGCTGAGGGTCTTACATCTGGAGCTGCTGAACCCTGAGGGTCAAACTTTTGGAGCAGTTTAAACCTCCACGAGGCCTTCTTGGTCGGTGGGACTTTTCTGCTAAATTGAAAGCCTTGTGGTTGGGTCTGATCAGTCTTCTTCATGTGATGGATCCTCCTGACCCCCTTCAGTTTCTCCTCTCCATGAGTCCAGCTGTGTTCTGTCAGGCCCATCATCACAACCTAATACCTGTGTGTTTCAGGTCAGTCAGTGATGGCAGGAACATCCAGACATGACAAAGAGATGGCCATGAAGGCCAAACAGCAGCTGTCTGACTGTTCAGACCCGTTGGAGAAACTCCGGCTGCAGTGTCTGTCCCGAGGCTCATCAGGCATCAAAGGTCTGGGCAGGTAAGCTCCACTCACTCCACCCACCTCTTGATACAAATCATTTAACCCTATCCACTTTATTCCTTTTTTTTTTTAAAGAACTTTATTAACAGTACCAAAACAGAACAATACAACAAGAAACAAATACAATGCACATGTGGGTGTCATAATTACATTTTACAAAATAGGGGGTTCTATTTCATATAGGCTTCGCCCTTTAAGGCTATCGCTAGTGGGTTTTCCTCTCGCATGAAGCACTAAAACTCTAGTCAACACCCAACTGCAGTGTGGGCCCCACCCCCGGTCTTTATAAGCTGCTCTGAGACCGGGGTTCAGCTCCCCTGGTTTCTTCAGCAAGCACTTAAGAACTCTAAAGAGCTGAAGATGTCCAGCAGAGTCATTCACCTGTGTCTGGCCAACGGGACGGGGTTTATCCTCAGCTCCGACCTGCACGCTATCTGCAAAGGTTGTCTCGGAGCGGAACACACAGGTCAAGCCCAGACGCCGCAGGCTTCATGTCTGCTACAAGCTTCTCTCGTGCAAGGAGAAACAACGCAGAGTGGCCATATTTGCTCCAGGCAAAGGGCATTTCCAAATTTCAGAGAGCTACCCACTGAACAAGGCCCTCAAATTCTTTGATGCGAGGCATGATTCGGATATTTTCATCTCTAACGAGGACTCAATTTGCAGCTTCGCTCCCCCCACCCAGGCGGGAGCGCTGGAGCCATGCTTCCTGTGGCAGGTGCACTTCCAGGCATCCCTATGTCAGCAACCATCCCCCTCCCAGCAATCAGCTCACTTGTACATGCTCTGCCTGACATAATTCAGAAAACGGTGAACGCCAGAGATCTGACTGTACTGGAGCCACTGGCCCCCCTACTTCCAGATGACCTGGCAGGAAGGTTTGCCGCCCTGCACTCCGGCTGCCAAGACCCAGTCTCGCCCCGCTTCCCAGCTGTGACGACATACTTGGCTGGAGCAGTAGTCGACCCGCTGAAGCTGAGAGCACCTGTGTCCACCTACCATCATGAAGGTGGAGGGGCTCACCGATAAGGGGTTCCCCCCTTTTCTGCTTCTGGAGCCAAGTCTGATAGCTGTTTTTGGGGTCAGAATGGTCTGGCATGTTGGATGACGGCCCGCCCCCCATCTTCCAGCGACCAGCTCACAGTAGGACTCACGGATCGAATTCATCAGTGCACATCTCTAGACAGCTGCAGTGGCAAACAACGTGGCCATGATGGCTTTCAGCATCTCCAAAAAAGCCAAGGAGCTGGATATTTCCTCAGAGGATCAGGACGAGTTCTGCAACACTGCTGGCACCATGTTGAACTTATGCACTGCTCAAGCCATCTGTGCGTCCCGCATCCTGTCCTGGGCAACTGTCCTGCAGCATCAGATGTGGCTCCACCTCTCTCTCCATCCCTGAAGAAATTAAAAAAGAACTGCTGGAGGGGCCTATCAGTCTGGACGGGTTGTTCAGCCCCCATTTCCAGTCGGTGTTGGGTCAGATACAATCCTCTTCAGACGCACTGGAACGAGTCCAGAAGCATGTGGTGCTGCCTTGTATGGACCCCCACTTCTTTCATGCCCCTGGTTGCTGGTGGGACCGCCGGGACCAACGGCAGCACCAAAAATGCTCAACTGCCGCAGCTGCATCTTCCCGAGCTCCGAGTGCAGTGGCCACCTCTAGAACCCAGCCAGAGCAGCCACAGCATCTCAGCTTGCAGCGGAGTGCCAGGGGCCGCCAATTCACCTCAGGAGACACAGCTGAGATGCCTTAAGAAATGACGCTTTGGGGGGATGTGTGTGTTCACAATGTTGAAAGTTTTGAAATAAAACACCAACATCACTGTTACAACAGTGGGGGCGGCTGTGGCTGAGTGGTTAGAGCAGTCGTCCTCCAATGCGAGAGTCGGGGGTTCGAATCCACCAGCAGTCACATGCCGAAGGGTCCCTGGGCAAGACACGGAATCCTTCATAGCCTCTGATGTGTGTCCCATCTGTGTATGAATGTGATAAAGCAATGATTAGTCTCTTTAGAATGATTTGTTCAATTAGCTTTGTAGAGATCTAGTAGAGTGCTGTATGAATGGGTAAATAAGGCACAGATTGTAGTGTAAAGAGCTTTGAATATCTTGAAATAAGATAGAAAGGTGCTATATAAGTACGGTCCATTTACCATTTACAACCGGCAAAAAAACAAGGGCTCATTGCGCTAGGTTGTAATTGGGGTTGGGCGTTTCCACCCTCTTCACACCTCAAGCAGCCATGGAGTCAGATGAAAAGGTTAACAGTGTGTTTATTTACAAGGTGAATTATATGGTTGAATATTTACGTAGGAGGCTTACCAGACTTCAGAGTGAGCCTCAGGCCAAAATAACAAACAAAACAAACTATTTTTCTTCCTATTTTTAGCATTTACCTAATAAATCAACAGTAACAAAAATACAGGTTTCTTACCTGATCTAAACTAACAAAAACAGGAGAAAAATGATCTTAACTAAACTGACAGCTCACCCCTACAAGAACTCCTTACAAAAATTCTACTAATTTATCTAAGCGACAGACAGCAGGTCAGCTGTGGCTGGTTGGGACATGCAGAGTGGATGGAAAGCCGCTGTCTGTGGGATTCCTGGGTTTTTTCCTGTCACTCACTCTTCCTTCCACAGCCAATTACCTCAACTCACTCCACCTGCTGTTGCTCTGAGGAGGACTGCCTGATGGGGTATTTAAACACCCGCCAGACACCTCTTCAGTGCTGGGACATCTTCTACCAAATGGTAAATTCGTGTACAGCCGACTAACCTTTGTTACAGCTGGTTCACACCAACTGTGACTCCTCCAGGACCTTCCACAGCCTGCCTCTTCAGATCCTTCCTAGGATCTCATCCCTCCACTGGATTCCATCTGTGGATCAACGGTGTCCCTTCAACATTCACCATTAAGGCATTCTCAACTGGGTCAACCTGCTCCTCTCTCCACCGCCAAATACCTCAGGACTGGATCTCCTACAAAAACCCAGGACCTCTCCTCTCCTTCTTAGCCTTCACCTACAACACAGACAGTAAGGAGTTAGCTTTCTATCTTCAAGAATTAAAACATTCAAAGAGTCACCAGAACCCATACTCACCTATTCCTCTTCTCATTTACAGCTGCGACGACAAGATTCACCTGTAAATAAAGTTCACTTACCTTTTGAAGTCCTGACTCTGTCTTTATTGAATCGGTCTGCTCACATGGGGGTCGACGTTGTTAAAACCTGATAGTATGTCCCAGCCAATGGACCCCCCGAGCAAGACTGAGAAGGTAAAGACTCAGTTAGAACCAAAAGTAAACACTGACCCTCTCCACTTAACTTTACAGTGGATTTTTGTGCAGCAACAAACAAACTCAGGACAATCTACGGGAGTTGGGTGGTATGGTGTTCTCTCTTCAGAGACAAATGGCGGACGAAGCTTCATCTTTGACTCAACCCATCCCTCTGGAACCTACAATTAGGATTAACAATCCGTGCCCCAAAGAACCGGACATTCGACCTTCAGAGATGTTTGAAGGTAACATACGCAAATGTGGTGGCTACGTTCTCCAGTGTAACTTGGCATTTAATCGTGCTCCCATTACCTATTCATCTGATTTTGCCCGCATAACTTATGTGGTTAGTGCTTTAAAAGGAGAAGCGCTTCAGTGGGCACATGCTTACCTTCGTAGACGCCCCATCGAAACTCTGACGTTTGCTACCTTCTTGAAAGATTTTCTTCGGGTCTTTGACCATCCTTTGCAGCAGGAGGAGGCAGCCCAAAAACTTTTTTCACTACGTCAGGGGAAAGAAACGGTGTCCAAATTCGCCATCCACTTCCGCATCATCGCCGAGGAATCCGGCTGGGGTGAGATAGCGTTACGCAGTGCATTCATTAATGCTTTAAATTGACAGATTAAAGACCAACTAGTCACCCGGGACATTCCATCGGATTTGGATGACGTAATTTCCCTGGCCATCCGGATAGACAACAGGGTTCAGGAGAGCCTCTTAGAAGAGGACTACAAGTCCCACAAGCTTCTTCTTCCCAGAAGTAATGATGCCGCAACCGCGGATTCAACCTCTGAACCCGAACCGATGCAGGTTGGTACGACTCGGCTTTCTCCCGAGGAGCGACAGTGCCGCCTTAAGGCCAACGCCTGCATGTACTGTAGGAAGAAAGATCATGTGATTGCTGCCTGCAAACTACGGGTAAAAGACAGAGCCCACCAGTAATACAGGAGATACTGGTGGGTACCACTTATTTGTCTCCTGAGAAGAATCTAAGTCTACTGACTATCATTTGCATTAACTCTGTCAATTTTCCTATCCAGGCGTTGATTGATTCCGGTGCAGAACAGAACCTAATCAGCAGAAACCTGGTGGAGGGACTAAATATCCCCACAACCAACTTAACACCAGCTATCACCGTCTCTGCTCTCACTGGACAAACCATCTCTTCCATCTCATTAAAGACATTAAAGATAATGTATGTTGTATCTGGAAATCACAGAGAGACAGGTGAGTTTTTTTGTTTTCGACTCTCTTACACCTCAACTTATCTTGGGTCATCCCTGGCTCAAATTACACAACCCTCAAATTAACTGGGTCGAAAACAGAGTTGAAAAGTGGGATGAAAGATGTTCTCTGAAATGCCTCCGCTCAGCCATCTCTTCAGGTTCATCTCCTAAAATAAAAGTTGAAGACATTGATCTTTCAACTATACCTTCAATTTACCACACGATGGCACCAGTCTTCAGTAAACAAAAGGCTTTATCTCTACCGCCACACCGTCCATATGATTGTGCCATCGATTTACTTCCTGGAGTGCCATTACCTACTAGAAGACTATATAATTTATCTGGGCCTGAAAAAATATCTATGAAAAACTATATTGATGACTCTTTAAAATCAGGCATTATCCGTCCTTCCACCTCTCCAGTGGGGGCCGGGTTCATCTTTGTGTCAAAGAAGGTTAAAACTCTAAGACCATTCATCGATTATA